CTTGCCAAAAGTGTTATTTTGATTGGATTTTTTGGCTGGTTTTGCAGGTTAGTGAACTGGTTTCCTGACATGCCTGCTGATGTTCGGTGGATGCAAGAGCAGCTCTTTCGGCTCGCTGGGACAGTTTATTCCCAGGCTAAAAGCAAACTGTTCTGGGCATCCAGGTAAAGGGCCAAGTTTCTTTCTTACAAGAAAATGTCATGATTTTTCTCAAGGGTAACACGAAAGAGCTCTCACTGCTTCAAATCTGTCTCCTGGTGCTTCTCGGGAGTCTGGACAGGAAACCCTGTAAGAGTTAAAAAGTAGATGAATAAGGAGGACAGTCCTGTAGGATGGTTGGGAAGAATTAAAATAAGACACATGATGGAAAACTTTTAGGAGCCTCTATTTCTGTGGAAGAGAAACTTCAGCTTCATTATCTTCTCTTACCCAGCTGGGGTGAGATTTGGCCTTTCAGACTTTTAATTTCTGTTTAACTTTGCAGCACTGTGTGTGGGGAAATGGGTGACACCTCACTGTGAATCTGAGAATCCTGTCACTGTTTCACTCCTTTCTTTCTCTTTACCCAGGAAAGACGATTATCCATCACTGAGGGAATGTCCAACTGTCCCATCCACTGTGGAATTTCATTCCTCATACTGCCACCTCAAAATGCCTCACTCTACCTCACACATTGAGAGCTGGCTCTGGGAATCTTCCTGCTTCCTTCAGTCAGCTATGAAAAATCCCTCTGCTGAAATACAGGAGCATCCAGACCTGAAGTCCTACCCCAGTTTCCTCCCAAATCCTGAGGAGTCTGCGTTGGACATGGATGTTGACTCTTCCTCGGAGACGAGTTTCCAAACTGCTCCAGAGTACTGATTTGGAAGCAGGTTCCACACTTTCCCAAATTCCAAATTTGGCAGAGAAACTTCAAACCCCTAAAGGACTAAAGGTCGCTTTGTTTATTGCCAATGAGTCTTGGAAAATTACTTGTTTACAGCTTCCTGACAAATCTGCCTTGGGAATTTTACTGTTTTAAGGATTATAAAAGCAGTGGCTGCTATACTGAGTGACAGATTATAATTCTGTTGAAGCACCAGCTCAATCAACTGTAGTAAGACTTGTAGTTAAACAGTGTCTCTCTGGAAATAAATTTATTAAAAATTTACTTTCAGCGTAAAAATGTAAATTCTGAAAACAGATTGTTAAACGAGCATTGACAGCAGAACCTTTTTCAAGATATAGTTCTTTATTATGTATTAGGATTACTTTTATAGCACTTAAATGAAATTGGGACTTTTACTTCATAAAGGGAAAACCACCAATTTTTAGTGGCCTCCAGTGCCCGTTTGCCTTATGTTTAAAGAGCCTGTTGTGTTTATGGAAAGTTGTCTGCACGAGATACTGTAGGAACAGCGTTACTCTGAGTTGTGGTGTGTGTTTCACAGTTCTTTTCCTCTGTGTTTTTTTCCCCTCTTCAAATAATCCAAGGGAAAAAGACACAAGAAATGGGGCACGTTCCCCTGAAGTGTAAACAGGTACAGTTTGTGATTTCAGAGGACTTTTTTGGAACTTCATAGAAAGGTTTAATACTTGGCTAAGTAGGTAAAGTAGTGGCTGTGATGAGTAGCAAACAGTAAGTCAAGAAGGTGTTAAACTTCACAGAAGATGTTAACAAAAATCAGTGTCTAGCAAGTGGTGAGTGATGTTTAGGTCGTCTCTAATTATTCTTGATGTATTTTCCCCTCCAACTTGAGAGATTTTTCGTCTCCTTCTTTCACTTCCCTCTTGCCAAAGGAGGGAAGAAAAAGGGTCTCCCCCCTCTCTCGGTGAGGTGCATCCCAGAGGAAGTTTTGCAGGACTGTTGGGAGCAGCAAGTGTGTAAGACTTAGTGGAAGTATCGATATCCAGAGAGCTGTGCAAAGGTTCCAGAGTCTCAGCTCTGATTTCCCTGAGCTTGAAGTGCTACATTTTACAGAATCAAGATGGCTTTGGGGCTGGTGAGGAGCAGGGGAGGAGGTGCTGAGTTGTCCATTTCCATATTCCAGGAGTCTGGTGCTATTTTACTTCAACTCTTCTGTTCATTTCTTGTGTGGTCGTGTCTTCAAACTTGCACGAGAAGCTGGGAATGTTCCTCTAACTACAATTAAAATGAGCAAGATCTGTTTTATATCGTCTCCATTTGTAATTTTAAACTTTGTAAAACGAAATTCTGGAATGTTCTGCAAAACACAGTTTACCAGAACGTGTAAGAATTTAATGGTCTGTGTGTTGGAATAGTTCTATTAACTCTGTTTAAATCAACCTTAACCACTTTTTCTGTTGGGCACAGCTCCAGTTTTGTCTCCTTTTTCTAAAATAAAACCACGATCTCTTCTGTTACCTTGTTTTCTGAGCTTTCTTGAGTATAATTCAGAATTATACTGAATAATCTGAAGTTAAATCAGAATGTTTGTTTCACTGAATGTTGAAGTGATTTGATGGTTCTGAGGGGTCTTATTTTTAAGAGAACTACTCTGGAGTTTGAGAGGTGCTTGTTCATTCTCCAGCTGGACCAACATCACCTTAAAGGTTTTGTTTGTTTGTTTGTTTTGCAATTCACTGGTTTACAAATAGCTTGTTGCATTTAAAGAGAAACGAAAACCAGAGAAAGAAGGTGTGTGTCTGGAGAAAGAAGACAAATGGTGTCTTGCTTCTGAGTTAAAACTCTGTAATTTAGCAGGTAACTAAATATTATAAATAACATAAAATACAATCAGATATTATTAGATAATATCTGTATAATAAAACAATTCTATTGATATATTTAATATAGACATTAAAATTTATTATATAAAATATAAATAACAATATAAGCAGATGACAAAATATAAATAACATAAAAATACAAATACAATAATAAATAACGTATACTATAAAAGTAACATGAAGGTGTTGATTGATTTGTTTAATTGATATATTTAATATGAATATAAAAATTTATATATAAATTCTGTAAAATAGAAATTATAAGCTGATAACAAAATATCAAATACAAATACAATAATATTATATAATATAAAATAACATGAAGGTATTGATTTATTGTTTAATTGATATATTTAATATAAAAACCATTTATTATATAAAATAGAAATAAAATATAAGCAGATGACAAGAAAAATAATATTAAATAACATAAATTATTAATATAGCAATTTGCTAATTTGATATATTTAATATAAACATTCATATATAGATTATATAAAATAGCAATAACATAGAATATAAGCAGATAACCAAATATAAATAATATATAGTATTAAATAATAACATATTAATACAGTAATTTATTAATTTATGTTCAGGCACGTACATCTTTGTTTTCCAGAAACAAAATTTTTAAAAATAATATAAATATTAAATTTTATCTCTAGGTGATTATAAAATATAAATAACAAAATATACTATTTATATATTATTAAAACAAAACATACTATTTACATACTGTTTGTTATACATAAATATACAATATACATATACATTTTTATATACAATTATATATAAAAATACAATATAGAATATTATTATAGCAAATAACATAAAAATAATGTATAATGTAAATCTATCTATATATATGTGTGACATTGTGATAATATGAAGTAACAATGCGAATAATGAAGTAAAAATATGAAGTTAACGTTATGAATGAAGTAGTAAAGTATGAAGTAACAATGTGAATAACGAAGTAAAAATATGAAGATAACAGTATGAATAACGAAGTAAAAATATGAAGTTAACCATGTGAATAATGAAGTAAAAATATGAAGATAACAGTATGAATAATGAAGTAAAAATATGAAGTAACAATGTGAATAATGGAGTAAAAATATGAAGTAACAATGTGAATAATGAAGTAAAACTATGAAGTAACAACATGAATAATGAAGTAAAAATATGAAGTTAACAATATAAGGAAGTAAAAATACGAAGTTAATGATGTGCATAATGACGTAGAAATACGAAGCAGCAGCGTGAATAGTGTGAAAATACGAAGTAATAATATAATGATGATAATGATGACAATGCTACCATGTATTACCGTTCCAGTTACTCACTGTCCCTGTTAAGCCCCGTACCACACGTCTCCGTTCGGGGTGCCCGTGTGACCCCGTGGGATGCGGGAACAGCCGCCCGCCTCCAGCCCGCCCTCCTCACCCCTCGAGCCGGGCCCGCGGCACAGGCGCTTTATTCCCTTCATCCCCGTTACTCCCCGTCATTCCCGGGGCCGTGCGGGTGTTCCCGGGGTCGCTCCCTTTATTCCCTTTATCCCCGTCATTCCCGGTGCCGCGCGGGTGTTCCCGGCGCTTTATCCCCGTCATTCCCGGGGCCGCGCGGGTGTTCCCGGCGCTTTATCCCCGTCATTATTTGTTCCCGGCGCTTATCCCGTCATTCCCGGGGCATTCCCCCGTTATCCCCGTCATTCCCGGGGCCGCGCGGGTGTTCCCGGTGCTTTATCCCCGTCATTCCCGGGGCCGCGCGGGTGTTCCCGGCTCGTTATCCCCGTCATTCCCGGTGCCGCGCGGGTGTTCCTGGCGCTTTATCCCCGTTATCCCCGTCATTCCCGGTGCCGCGCGGGTGTTCCCGGCGCTTTATCCCCGTCATTCCCGGGGCCGCGCGGGTGTTCCCGGCGCTTTATCCCCGTCATCCCCGTCATTCCCGGTGCCGCGCGGGTGTTCCCGGCGCTTTATCCCCGTCATTCCCGGTGCCGCGCGGGTGTTCCCGGCTCTTTATCCCCGTTATCCCCGTCATTCCCGGTGCCGCGCGGGTGTTCCCGGCTCGTTATCCCCGTCATTCCCGGTGCCGCGCGGGTGTTCCCGGTTCGTTATCCCCGTCATTCCCGGTGCCGCGCGGGTGTTCCCGGTTCGTTATCCCCGTCATTCCCGGTGCCGCGCGGGTGTTCCGGCGCCGCTCCCGCCCCTTCCCGCCGTGCCCGGAAGGTCCCTCCCGCTCCCCGCCGTGCCCAATGCGCTCCGGGGCGGTGCCGCCCGCCATGGCCGCCCCCGCGCCGCGGCCCTGACCGACCCCGCTCCGCCCGGCCCCGGCACCGCCCGGCCCCCGCACCGCCCGGCCCCGCCGCCGACATGGGCACCGTGCACGCCCGGGTAAGGGACGGGACCGGGCCGGGGCCGGGGCACGCCCGGGTGGGCCCCGCCGGGGCCGGGAGCGCGGCCGCCGCCGCTCCGCCCGAAGGTCGTCCTGGGGCGGCCGCGCAGGGACAGGGCCGGGAGCCCGTCCCGGGCCGGGAGCGCCTCCGCTCCCTGGGTGTCTTTTCGTACGCTCACAGGACGCTGAGGGATCGGAACGGGATCATCTCGCTCCGCCACCCCCTCCTTGGGGACGCCTTCCACTATCCCGGGTTGCTCCAAGGGCCGTCCAGAAGTCCTTTGGGCACTTCCAGGGATGGGGCAGCCGCAGGTCCTCCGGGCACCCCGTGCCAGGGCCTCACCGCCCTCCCAGCCACGAATTCTTTACTAAGTAAAGGATCCCTTCCGAAGTAAACCGTTTTTTCCGATGTAAACCATTTCTTCCTAAAGAAGACCCGGGTCTTTCCCGGAGTTGACCTTCCCGCAGGAGGCGGGGGCTGGTTAAGGGGAGAGACTGTGGAAATGAAAACGGGGGAAAAAACCCCAAAAAAACAACTAAGAAAATAAAAAGCCGAAAAAACTCCCCATTGCAAACCTCAAGGCAAAGAGAAGCTGCAGCTGGCGGGGTGAGAATCAGGGTCTGTGGGGCTGCAGTGCTCGGGGAGGGCTGTGCTGCCTCACCCAGCACTTGGAGATGGTCGTGAACAGATGGATAAATCTCCAAATCCATCTACAAGTGCTCAAACAAGGGGCACGAAGGTTTTAAGTGTTCGGTTTAACGCTGAAGAACAGCTGCAGGGTCTGGCTCCAGAGTATCTGATTTAATTTCTTTATCAAATTGTTTTTCTGGCGTTCTCTGGTTTGTGTTCGTGTGTAGTATGAAGTGATACACGGTGTTGTGTGGATACAGATCGTTTGATGCTTGCCTCAAAATTTCTGGGAGTGAGAGAAGCTTCTATCTTCATTTTAACTTGATTTTGATATGTAACAGTAATTTACTCTTCCAGCAAAACAGCTGGAACTGTTAAACAATTAAATAATGCAGCAAATACTGTGTTAGTGACTTAAGACTAAAAGTAAGTTACTGAGTTATCCAATCCTGACCTCTGCTTTTCTCAGGGAAACCCTTTATTCACTCATGCTTGAATCGGTTATCTCCTGCTAAGTCTTATTTTAACTCTCTCAGGTATAGTAAGTAAAGCCATGCCCTGCTGGAAAACATTTTGATTAAAATGTTCCCCTCTGAGGTTCTCGAGCCTTATTTGAGAGGTTACTTCTAAAAGAAATGCTGGCATATAAGAGCATATAAATACATGAAAAGCAAAGTAATGTGCTGAGAATGCCCTTCTTATTTTATTGTTCTACATTCATACTCCTCTGCCTCCCAAAAACCTGAACTGGAGAAGTGACAGCCTGATTTTTTTAAAGATCCTTTTAAGAGGGTAGAATTCTTCTTTTATCGTGCCTTTAAAATTAAGTCTTTTTTTTGGAATAGTGCAGAGTATTTTTGAGAAATCATTCAAAATGGAAGCTATTTAGCTTTCATTAAGAATTTCAGCAAACAGGTAAGTGTTTACTGTGCTGGTAATTCCCCTCATTTTAGTTCTTCCCTTTGCTCTTTTCCCTTGGGATTTGATGATCACACTGCCAAGAGCCATGGTTTTTTTTTCCTTTGCAAAAGACATAAATCACTAATCAATGTACCCTATTAAAGGCAGTTTTCTTTTCATGCTTTCAGAGTTTGGAGCCTCTTCCCATGGCTGGGCCAGACTTTGGTGCCTTGGGAGAGGAGGCTGAACTGGTTGAAGTCGAACCTGAGACCAAGCAGGAAATTCTGGAAAACAAAGATGTGAGTGGCTGAACAACATCCTCATTTATTATTTTTTTTTTTTGTAGAGAGAAATGCTTTGGCACCCTTTCTTCCTTGTTTTTCCTAAGGCAACTTCCTAAGCTATGGATTGAAATGTGAAAGAATTACATTTAGTACTGTGAGTTTGATGTTATCTGGTTCCCATTCTTTTATTCTGCTGTTTATTAGATGTAATCCTTAGAGTCATACAGATGTATATGATACAGGTGGTATAATCTGAATTGTCTCTTTTATGAACTCTAGTACAGAGTCATGGAATTGTTTAGATTGCAAAAAACCATTAGGGTTATTGAGTCCAAAACCATGTCCCCAAGTGCCACATTTACATGTCTTTTAAATCCTTCCTGGGCTGGTAACTCCAATCCTTGACAACCCTTTGAAGCATTTGCAGATTTATATTTCTTTTTGACATTTACCCCTAAAATTTCCTGAAAAGGTTGGAAAAATGAGGGAAATGCAATCCCTGTAGTCCATTTGTACCAGCTGGCCCTGGGGTGTGTTGTGATTTTTGCAATAAAACTGTCTCAGATGATTATATATCAAGAGGAAAGTTTTTAAGAAAATAGAAAACCTCATAATGTGGGTGATCTTCCCTTGCATTTTAAACTGCACTACACTGGTGATAGTGATAATATCAATAGAGTTTAAATATTTGTGACTTGTAAGTTTGTTTTCTTTTAACTCTTTGCTTATGTGGAGCAGATAAAAGTAGCAAACAACTACATGTCCTGTCTTGTGTGATTTCTGCAGTTATTTATTTGTCCATACAACACAACTAAAATCCCAGCAGCTGCGCTCTGTCAGTGTTTGTTTTGCTACAACCAGTAGTAACTTTGGTATTGGAGTTGTCTTTTCTTTAATTTTTGGAACAGTTTTCCAGATTCATAGACAGCACTGATTTCTGATAGTGGAGGTTAGCAGTAATTAGCTTTTCACGTGGACAGCAGTAATTTTTGTGCACTGGTGATTTTGAGACTCATTATTGGATGCCAGTTCAGTATCTGTGTGTAAACCTCTGTTCTGTTCAGGTGGTGGTTCAACATGTGCACTTCGAGGGACTTGGAAGGACCAAAGATGACATTATCATGTATGAAATAGCTGATGTTTTCAAGGCTAAAAATCTCATTGATGTAAGTACTGGGGTGAATATCAGACCTGCTGCTTGGAAATTCAGGTTAATTAATTACAATTTCTCTCTCTTTCCTGCTTTGTGCTACTCCCTTATCGCATGGGGCGACTTTGTCATGTTTTGTGATGATTCTGATCTTGTGATACAGAAGCCAAACCTTAATATGAAATACTGGCAGATGCTGCATTTTCTGATGTGTTCAGCTCAGAGATGTTGTGAGGTGGCAAACAGATGGTTTTTTTCAGCTTCATTCTTCCCATTTGAGAATTTCTAACTGTGTAGGTGACACTTCCAGTTAATTTGCTGAAGATAAATTATTGGGACTCAGCACAGTGGAGCAAAGTGTGAGTTAGGCTGGATCTCCCTGCACTTTTAGGTGGTGATCCCTTCTGGAGCATGGCTGGCAATTAGACCTCTAAATTGGTCTAAATTTATACAGGTTAGACTGTTTGGTGTTTGCCAAAACCAGGGGCCCCCTGTATAAGTGTAACTACTTACAGGTGTATAAGTTGAATATTATTTGAATAACAGGTTCAAGTATTACAACAATTAAGAAGCAAACTAACAAAAGGTAGGAATTGAGCCATATGCTCTGGGTTGGTTTATTTCTTTACAGATGCAAGTCTTAAAACATCTTAACAGGTGAATTAACGTTCATGTTGTGAATGTTGTTTTTGAAGTTGCATGTATGTGCCCTTGTATACAAAATCTGTGAATATTTTACAACTTTACCTGCACTTTAACTATTTTTTTTTTTTTTGGTAATCTGAAAGACTCAAATGGACTGGACCATCCTGAAGGTCCCTTCCAACCCAAACTACTCTGTGATCCTGTGGCTGAGCTGCTTTTCTCATCCTGTAGGTCATGAGAAAATCACACGAAGCTCGTGAAAAGCTGCTTCGTTTAGGAATCTTCAGACAGGTGGATGTTCTGATTGACACCTGTCAAGGTGGGTCTCCCCTCATTAATCCTCCCCTTCTTCCTCATACACACACTCTTTAATGTATAACTTGCTCTCTTCTGTACCTTCATATATTTTAAATGAACACATGGGTGTGCTGTACATACAAATATGTGTCCACATCCATTATCCTTAGGAAGAAGATGTATTTTCACAGATCTGTAAATATGTGTATTTAAGTACTGTAGACATGCAAAAATGAGTGAATTTCCAGCACTTAAATAATTACAGTAAACATCCCTTAATCCACAGTTTCAAGGAATATGTGAGGGAAAGCTTGAAGCTGTGCCCTGTATTTCTGTGTATCACACATCCCAAATTCTGCACTGATATCCAAGTGACATCTTTTTCTCAAGTAATTTCTCTTTATAATGTGGGCTTTTATTGTCCTTTAACTCAACCAGTTTTCAAGTAGTTCAAGTAATCTTGTCTGCATTTTTTAAGCAACTATAGAGATAACATACACTTGTTTGTTTGTTTATGTAGGAGATGATGCCCTTCCAAATGGTTTAGATGTGACCTTTGAGGTGACAGAATTGAGAAGGTTAACTGGAAGCTATAACACCATGGTTGGCAACAATGAAGGCAGCATGGTATGGATTATTTCAAATTATGCCTTTTGGTCTTCCTCTTAGTTTCAAAGCTAGCAAGGATTTTGGTGATCCAAACCAAATTATTTTCTTGATCCAGCTTTACTAAGGCTTTGCCAGACCTTTGTGTCTAAAGAGTCTTTGTATTAGTCAGGCTTTCATTCAGCAAAAGCCTATTTTGAGCTAAGGGAGAATCCTCTGGCTTCCAGCTCAGCATGTTAATTTTTTTAATTCTTGAAACTACTTGTATTATTTCTTGATAGTGGTTAAGATGTTTTATCTACTGGAGGGATAAGTAGGGAATCTGGAATTTCCTTTCTACGAGATATATTTAAAGTATTTTTCTTCTCAGTCAAAATGCTTTATATTTGACTTAGAAATTGTTCTTGTTTTTCACTATTTTAGCCCAGTAACAATTATTGTGGGCTGCAGAACACGAAGTTTTCACAGATCATATGAACTGTGGGGCTTGTTTTCTTATGATTTAATTAAAGATGCATCAGATTAAAATCCTGTGTGAAAAATATTTACCAATTGACACAAAAAAAATCCCTTCTGGTGTGGGCACATGGTGGTTCCAGGTGCCCATCCTGCACCCTTCCTGCCTCCTCACGTGCACAGGGCAGCTGTGCCTGGGGCTGGGAGATAAGCCAGATCAAGGGACTCATCCCTTTCTTCTTAGGGGTATTTTTAACCTGGGTAAGATGCTGCATGACTCAGGGGATGGTGCTGTGCATGTGCAAGGGGAGCAGGAACTGGGTGAGTTGAGAGCTGCTTATGCAGCTCCACTGCCAAAAGCCCTGCCCAGGGTGTCGTGGCCTGAAGGAAACCAGCAGGGGATCCTTGTTGGTTCCTGTGCTGCTGAAAACTCACTGAAAGCTGCTTTGGTTTCCCTTTTTGGACTCAGCCTCCTCTTCTTTCAGATTTTAATTTGTTACAGAGAAGGAAAACTTGTGGATGCTCTAAAAGCAGGACTTGTATTGGCAACATATTATGTTTCCTTAGGAGTTGAATAGATTTGACATTTATTCTGATCTCTTAAATTCACCTGAAGCCTGAATTATATTTCGTACTAAAAGCCCTTTCTGGTTAGATGAATAACTGCCTAGTAGCCATCATTACAAAGTTCAGGTGACTGATTTGCTTCCAACAGCTGTTAGGCAAAAGTAGTCAGGATTTGGGAACTTTTTAACATTCTTTTACAATAGAAGACACAACAAGAGTGCAGTCCTGCTTGGAGAAAACCTGCTCCATCCTTGCTGCCAAAAGGATGCAAGGAATTTGTGCCATGACAGGCAGAAGTGTTTCAGTAGTTTCTGGAGAACTGTAAGGGTGTTGTACTGCCATCAGGACTGGTTGCAAAAGGACCTTGTTACTCAAAACAAAAACACAGGGAAGTGACTCTGGAGTGATAATTTTCCATTGGCTTTGGTTATGATAATGTTACATGACAATTATTTTCCTGCCTTTGCTGCTGGTGCAAAGAGAAATCCAACTTAAAAGAAAAACACATTTGCTAACAAGTACTTTTAATGTCTTCATTTCTTATTCTCATGGCAGATATGCTTGTCTTCAGCACGTGATTAAGATGCAAGACAGCAAAACTATGAAATGTTATGATGTGGGATTTTTTTGTTTTTGTTTTGTTGTTGTTTTTTTTTTTTTTTCTTTTCTGTAGGTCCTCGGGCTCAAGTTCCCAAATCTCCTTGGGCGTGCAGAAAAAGTCACCTTCCAGTTCTCCTATGGAACAAAGGAAACTTCATATGGCCTGTCCTTCTTCAAACCCCGGCCTGGAAACTTTGAAAGAAAGTAGGGGATGCATTTTTGAGTACATCTTTTTTTAACTGAATGAATATAAAGCAAGTAATCAGATCTTTCATCGAGTAATAATTACATTTATTCCTTTCCCGGGGGGGTCTGTTAATGATGGAGCAGAGCTGGTTTCTTAAGTTTTTGTGATTATTCAAAATTCCACCTACTTAAATAATTTCCTTTTAAAACCTGCCAGTAATGTTGTGTTTCAGTTTTGCAGTTAATGTGTATAAAGTGACTGGACAGTTCCCTTGGAGCTCTCTCCGTGAAACAGATAGAGGAATATCAACAGAATGTAATGTAAGTGGAGCACAAGAGCTTGTGGAACACACACTTCATTTACTCTTCATTTGGGTCACAGAGCTGGCTTTTGCAAATGTTTGGTTTACTTTTTTATGCTTGAATCACTTGTGCACTGGGCTGACATCTCATTTATTTGACAGAGGTCAGCAATTTGGAGATGACAGAGGTCATGCACTTCAGTCTTCTTGTTAGAATCCAGTCTTATTTTGGCCATATAAAAATGCCAGTGTGTTTTTCTCCAAATTCTTTATGTTTCAGATTATCATTTCAGAGAGGTAGCTGCTTGCCTACCTTCCTGTATCAGCCCAATGCAAGATATTTTTTGTTTGGGATGGAAAAAAGGGGTGTGGAGAAACTCTCTGGGCCGGAGCAGAATTAGCACTACTCTGAAGTGAAAAAGGGTTTCTCTCTGATTCAAGGAGTTTGGAAAGAAAGCCATAGACTCAAGTATTAAAAACAGTTGTTTTAATTTTGTAAGAGTTTTTTCATGTCTTACTCAATTCCTTTTTTGCAGTTTCCAGTCTGGAAGACCAATCACACCGTGAAGTGGGAGGGTGTGTGGAGGGAGCTTGGCTGCCTTGCTAGAACAGCGTCCTTCTCTGTTCGAGAAGAAAGTGGACACTCTCTTAAATCCTCTCTCTCTGTAAGGCTTTCCCATGATCATTGTTTAGAACACATTATTTTGTGTCATCTCACACTTAAGAATGACCTTTCTGTCTTAGTGGGGGTGGTGTTGCTTTACCTCAAACATCTTTTGCTGCGTTTGGTCTCACCTGCCACCTGTTTTTGCAGAGTTGCCTTGTTTTTTAGCAGTAAATTTCCCAATCCTGCTCTTGCCATGCCTTTTCTAAACATTCCTCTGGCAGTTTTTGGTCACTTGTCATCTTTCACAAATGACAGGGGATGAACTATTTGCAGATTACTGTCACAAAATTGGTGTTTTAAACTGGGGCATTGCTGCTGCTCTGTTCCTTGTGTGTACCGTGGGCAGAAAATAGAAAATAAGATAAAAAATGTATGTGTTTCATGTGGCCTCTAAATTCAAAACTAAGGTATATTTTTCCCAAATCCATAAAGCTACACTAGCCTTAGCTGTCTTCCACTGTTTGCACAACTTTTGAAGGAAAATAATAGTGTCACTCTGAGCTATTCAACAGACAATGAGAACCTAAACCCAATTTTTATATTCTTTTCAGCATGCCATGGTAATTGATTCCAGGAACTCCTCAATCTTGCCAAAACGAGGTGCTTTGCTGAAAATCAATCAGGTAGTATTAAACCACTTATGCTGTTATTGGGTTTCTTATCTGTGGGTTTGAGGTAGTCTTAATTTATCTAATTGATGTTCACGTTAAAAATGCCTAAAGTTAGAAATTAGTCTTAAATTGACTGGGAGACAGTGAGGACCAGTATTTACTGAACCTTTTAAAATCAGGCAGCTCTTCTTTGGGGCAAATTTTCATTTGTATTTATATTTTCATCCACTGGTCAAACAGCACAGCCTCTCCATGCCCCTCTCCATCAGCATTCAAGTGTTTATTAGCTGAGAGACACTATTCCTGACAGTATTTACTCTGCACTTTTAGTAGTTATTAATTAGTCCTTCTTTTCTAACTCTGTCGTGTAAGACTGAGAATTTGTAAGTCTGAGAATTTGAAGTGAAAGACTGAGTAAAAATAACTCCCCAAGGCATACACGTGTATCATTTTGGCAGAGAAAATGGTTTTCACTCTTGTTACGTTCAGAGTTTTTCTAAAAGCTGGGTTAATACTTCAGAAACAATGATTTTTGCAATGCTTTAGAAGCAGATTGTTCTGAAATGCCATTGGAGCTAAAAGTGCCACATGTAGACAATGCTTTTAAGGGAAGAAACACGTAATATCTGTTAAAACTTCCATAAACTTCTGTCCTTGCAGGAGCTGGCTGGTTACACAGGTGGAGATGTGACCTTTCTAAAAGAGGATTTTGAGTTTCAGTTGAATAGGCAACTTCCCTGGGACTCGGTAATTTTTTTTAAAATATTTTTAAAAATATTTTTGTATTTAATAGCACTTGATCTGAAGTTTATCTGACATTATTGAACCTGTGTCTTATGATGATTTTTCACCATGGATTAGTAAGAAGATCATGAAAGATGGATGGTGCAGGTATCTTGGTTTGTTTCTTTGGAACAAAGAACTACTCTTTATTTTTTATCTTATATTCCTGCCTTGCACAGTCAGTTGAGAAATGGCCATTCTTGAAAGAACAGCTTGACAATTAACCATGTGAACACTTTTCCTTCCAGAAATAATGTTGCTCATGTCTGTTCTTTGTGATTTTTCAAAAACTTTGAGAGCTTTTCAAAAACTTCAAAGGTTTGAAACTTTGTTTCACCTGGTTATGAATATTCTGACTAATCTTGGGGTTTTTTCTGTCATTGAAATTATGAATGTATAACTATTAATTTTGGTATCCTAGCATGTAATTATTTCCTCTGTGTAAAATTATTGGGAAAGAATGTTTCATGAACTTCAGCTTCCTACAAGAACATAGAGATCCTAAGTTTCAGGCAGCTTTAACAACATAGACCTAGTATTAGGTGGAAATAGGTTTTTTCTGCTTATTGAAATAAGAATTTCGATATATCTTAGGAATATTTCTGTCTGTATTTAGAAAGAAGTTGTATTTTGCAGTAAGTTCCTCTCATAGCTGAGTGGGGAATTGAACAGCAAGTTATTATGAAGATTTAAAAATCAGAGGTTACAATAATTTGCATCCCGAAAGTATTAAAAATAGATCTCACTGTCTGGCAATGGTACCTCTAGCTGGTACATAGGCAGCAAGAAATTATTAAATGTGTTTGTTACAGTGATTTGGGTATCAAGAATTACTCACTATAGGTAAACAGTAGTGCTGTATGTTTAATTAATGTCAATATAGTGAGTTGTAGAGGGTGATTTCATTTAACTGTAAGGCTGATTTACAGACAGGTAAATAACTGTACAATTTACAGACAGGTAGTAATTGCCAAAAAATTGTATTTTTGGCAGTTATTTGTTGGACTTTGGGTTTCAAAGTGCCAGGAGTAATTTATGTCAGCAGTGTTGTCTTTATTTCAAGAAAATTACTGAGAAAATAGGAGCTGGATGAGGTGGAAGTGGATGTTGTGGAAGTGGCACTTGGTTCAGATGTGCTGTGTTGACTTTTTCAAGGCAAAGCACTGCGTGAAAGAAAGAGGGCAGCAGCCACCCAGAGTTTCCTGAAAATCCCACCACACATCCCACACTGCTGGTGTGATATCCATGCACACACCGTGGTCAGCTCACGGGAGCTCTGGCTGCTACTGAGCAACGAAATCTTAACTGTCCTAGGGAAATTAAGTATTCTCTGTTCACAAACAACTTCTTTTCCTCTCCAAAGGTCTTTTCAACGTCACTCTGGGGCGGAATGTTGGTGCCTATTGGAGACAAACCATCCAGTATAGCTGACAGGCAAGTTTGTTAAATCTTTGGGGTTTGGGTTTTTTTCCAGTGAATGTGCATAGAAAACTCTAGAAGAGAGAAGCAGCAGTAGCTCTGGTTCTGAGAAGAATAAAGTGTCTCTAGGTAGCTTTAATTGCATGTTGGTACTCCAGCCATTTTCATAGGGGGGTAGTGCAGATTTACAATTTGCTGTATGGTAGCTCTGCCTGCCAATATTTATGGTTGCAAAACGGTATTTACCATCTGCAGAAGTTTGTAGCAGGCACAAGTACCTGTGTTTTCAGACACAAAGCCCTATTGTAACTGTTTGCCTTGTAGACAGTTTTACTAAGCCTGTTCCAAAGTTGCCTTCCAGGTGAAGCATTGCATTTAATTTGGCTGTGTTCCCCAGGTTTTACCTCGGAGGACCAACGAGTGTGCGTGGGTTCAGCATGTACAGCATTGGACCCCAGAGTGAAGGTCTGGAACCCTTAAATCCCACTCCTCTGGCAGTACTGCAAATATCTGTGTGTCACATTCTGTCCTCAAGCTTTGTGTAGCCTGAAAACTATTGCACTCATTCTGTACTTTGGGAATTGTTATGGCTTTGATCTGTTGTAAACCAGGTGTGTGTTCAGACTTTCATACTCCCGGCGTGTCACTTTAATTAGTAACAAACTTCAAGCTGAAAAAGTTCCCAAAACATGGTTATAGCAACAGTCACATTAGATCTCTTGTTTGATACTCTGTTTGATTCCTGAGCAAATGCTCAGGTAGCTTAAAGGAAAGGTGATGTGCTCCACAGAGATGTTTTGAGAGGCAGTTCTATTCCTTCCTCTGTTATCAACAGGTTCAATATTCACTACAGTTTAAAGCTAATTGTTTTACTGTGCCAATTTCCCATTTTTAAAACTAAGACAAGTATTGCACACGTGTTCAGGGGATAGTTCTGATGACCCAAGAGTAGGATGAGGGAATGAAGAAAAAAGCACTTCCCTTGGATTGTGTAAGTGCTGATTTTTTTACTTCATAGTGTTGAGGTTAGAGAAAGAGAGAAGCCAGGGGTAGAAATGCAGTGTAAAACAACTCATGGGTGTTTTCTTGTACCTTTAACAACTGGTTCTTTTAATATATTCCACAGTAAAAGCTTTTATTCCAACATTTTGCCCAAACAGGTGATTACCTGGGAGGAGAAGCCTACTGGGCTGGGGGTGTTCACCTGTACACCCCTCTCCCTTTCCGGCCAGGCCGTGGAGGCTTTGGAGATCTTTTCCGGACACATTTCTTCCTTAATGCTGGGAACCTCTGCAATCTTAACTATGGTAAGATCAGTAGAACAAAAAAAAAACCTTCTTCCCCATGTATAAAGCAAAAAGGAGAGCTGCTCTGTGTCTGTTTACTCAGAAGCAGCTTGTTTACTGTGTGTGTTTTGGTGCCTGTCAAAAACCTGCTGCTTTTAACTTACATGTTTGCCAGTAATTTATTGAGCTCTCCACATAAATTCCAGCACAACTTGTAGGAAAGAGACCCAGGGTGGTAACAGTAGTAGCTTTGAATTGGTGATATTTGCAGGCCAGTGTGGTAATTAACATTTCCTATATTACCCCATTCTGAAGGGAGATGATTCTAATGTTTACTGGGATGAACTAAATAAAAAGTGGTGGCATGAGGGTGTGGTGGCTGGTGGGATTTCTTTTCCCTCCCATCCCCAACATTTTTCAAAACATATTTCATTGATTTGGAGTATGGCTTTGCAATATGATTTCAGTCAGTTTTAGGATATAGTGAGATTTGGTGTCTGCCTGACTTGATGTAAGAAAGGCAGCATCCCCATGGGAGGGAGACACTTAATGCACAATTGAAGGGCAGATTAATCACCTCAAAATAATAAGAGACACACTAATTAGAGAATAGAATCACGGAATGGTTTGGGTTAGAAGGGACCTTAAAGCTCATCTCGTTCTGCCATGGGCAGGGACACCTTCCACTAGCCCAGGTTGCTCAGAGCCCCATCCAACCTGGCCTTGGACACTTCCAGGGATGGGGCAGCCACAGCTTCTCTGGGCAACCTGTGCCAGGGCCTCCCCACCCTCCCAGGGAAATTTCTTCCTAATATCCAATCTAACCCTCCTCTCTGTCAGTGTGAAGCCATTCCCCCTTGTCCTGTCACTACATGATCCTGTAAATAGTCTCTCCAACTTTCTTTTAACACTCTTTAGGTACTCTGAGGGAGTACTAAAGACATTTAAGGTTCTTGCTAGTAAGCCCCCCATAGTGGGAAATGAAGATCAGCAGCAATCCAAGTAAAATCCCAGTAGTTTGAGTCCAAGGTTCTTGGCATTTTTGAGAGTTGTGGGCAGTGAATAAGTTTTGATTCTGCAGGAGCTGCCCCTAAACAGTCTGTCTTCTAGCTCTTAAAATCCAGTTAGCCTGGGATCACCTTGACAGTCTTTGATCCTGGTTCTCCTGCTCTTTTGGTTGCAGGTGATGGTCCCAGAGCTCACCTGAAGAAGCTGGCAGAGTGTATCCGCTGGTCTTACGGGGCCGGAATTGTGCTCCGACTGGGAAACATTGCCAGGCTAGAACTTAACTACTGCTTCCCCATGGGAGTACAGGCTGGGGACAGGTTGGTTTCTTACCCCAAATTCTTCAGTAGTAACTGGGTATTTTTTACTGCACTTCTGTCTGATTTATCAGATAGAATTGGTGCCTTTTAGTTTTGCCTAAAAGGGATTTTTGAGCACTCGCTGCTGCTCTTCCAGCCCACTGTGCTCATGTTGGTTCCACAGCACATCTTGGTTTAAGGCTTTGTTTCTCAAGTTTCAGAGTTCATTGAACTTGAGATCAGCTGTTGAAATGTATGAATAGCTGTGCAACAGGCTTTATTTCTTTAGGGCAAATGATCACTCCAACACCTAATGGGGTTTTCTGAAGCCTTCCAGAACGAAATGATTGGATAAATACCCAGTTTAATGTCTTTGTTTGAAAAATGGAAACAAGTTTAGGTATAGATAAAGAGGAAGGCATAACAAATTAATTTGTTAGCAACCAATTATCCCAAACCAAGCAAATATTACAGTATGCAGTAAAAAGCTTCAGGGGGCCTGTTCTTTGTCGCCTGTGAATATTGTGTGAGATATTCTGTATTTCATACAGGAGTTGGGTTATGTTTCCACTTATCATTCAATGGGAATGAATAATAGCAATTTGAAAATCAGGACCTTTATTTTGCAAATGTAAACACTCCGTATGAATGACAGATTGACAAAGCAAAAGCCCTTTGTTGGGTAACATTTGAATTAAAACTCTTCCAAAGATTGAAAACTGTGGGAATTTGGGGATAGGGAGAAAGGACTTTAATTTCATCAATCCCTTGTGTATCACTTACACTGTTTATTATTTGTTTCTTTTCAGGATATGTGACGGTGTTCAGTTCGGAGCAGGAATAAGATTTCTATAATACAGAAACATTTTACATCACTAAATGAAATTGTGCTCTGTCATTGAAATCAAGGCTATAATATACTTTGATAAGGTCTGACTTTTTTCCTTGAAATACAGATACACATCTGAGTGATTTACCTCTTGGACTCCCCAAGAAACTACATTAAATAATTATGCTGTAAAGGTTCATTGTACCTCTGATTCTTATCAAAGCTGGGAGAGTGTTTGTAGGAGTGTAGCTATTTTATCTTACAGCTTTTGTGTTCCATATTTTATCTAGCTTTTAGTTATTAGTTTTTACTTAAAAATTTGGAAGTTATGTCAGATATTGGCTCTTGGATACTGTCCATGTAATTATAGTTGTCATTGGCCTGCATGGCCTTCCCTCTTCCAACCACAGTTCTCACAAGTGGGAGTATGGTTGGAATGGAAATTAAGGGGTTTTTCTCCATCATCAGTTTCTGTGAGCAAATGACCCTGAAAAAATCTGTTATGTGTCAAAAATTATACCATTTTAGTGGTTCTAAGTGAACCAAAATGTTCTGGTTTGAATATATTTCACTGTTGTCAGTCGCCTCTATTTAAATGCCTCCTGCAATCTGAACTGCATACTGTAAAAATTCAAGTCATCTGTCTAGCACAACAAACAGTAAAATCAGAACTTGGAAAGGGTCAGGGTTCTCAGCTCTGAGGTGGTTTTGAGTGCTTTAATGCTCTCAGTTGCAAAAAGGGACTGTAGACGTGATGATGTGGTGCTGCCTTGTTTGCCTGCGTGTGAGAGGTTTGTCTCTACTGACTTGTTGAGGTGCAAATTTCACTTCAAAGTCACCTCCTGCTTTATCACTTGGTGTATGTTCCAGTTTCCAAGGCTGGACTAATTCACTGGTTCAATCCTAAGTATTTATCTTTGAAGATACTTGGATACTGATTTTTTATATGCATCAATCCTGTGTGGTCATCCTAAGAGAATCTGATCTTGGAGTCCATTTTCACTGCATCCAAATTTATATTTCTTTTGTTATTAAGTTCTGGCAAATTTAAAATCCAAACACAAAGAAGATTCTGGGAGAATGGAACAGAAATACAGGAGCTGTTGTACTCCTGATTTTTTTCTGCTTGACTGAAGACAGGTTTGGAAATACTGCTGCACTACTTGACTTGGCTGAATGCTGTCAGGACTGCCATCAAATCTTGTTCCCAATCAAGTCAGACTCCACTCTTTTTAAGAGAGACCACAGTTTTAAACATTGCTTTAGCATTGGTATGTACTGCTGTTGTGGTAATACAGTGACTAAATCTGGTTTTGTTGATAATTCTCTAAAATATGAAGGCTAGAAGCTGATTTGCAGAGCTCTGCTTGACCAAACATCGTTCCCTCCTTTATGAAGTAGCAGCAACAGGCTCACAGATGTTCCAAATTGTGTGAATGACAGAAGTCAGCCCTTTTTCAAATAGCAAAATTCAATCTAAAAAGCTTTTCCAGTGCGTTTATCCAAGAGCTACTGTAACAAGGACATATTTAATTAAGCGTTTCTGATGATTTTTTTGTTGTTGTTATGAGATAAAATATGAAACTATGTTAAGAATGTCAACAAATGTTATTAGTTTTTCTCCAGCACTATCGACATTTTGACATGCAAAAACATTTTTGATGGGAATGTTTAGATACCAAAATACTGTTAGGGTGTTCTCCTAGGAGTTCAAAGTTAATGTGTACTCTGTTGCCTTAAGAACTCTGTTTTGTGCACATTTTTTACTAAAGGCTGCACAAGTGTAATCCTTTAATGTGACACGAGAGCCCCAAGTATCAGTTGGCTGTTTGAGAGGGCTCAGTAGTTTCTGAGCTGAGCAGGCCTAGAGAAAGAGCCTCCAGCCCAGTGTGCATGTCAAGCAGCAGCCAGTCCATAATTCAGTTTGAGGGAAGTGTGGCCTCTGTGAGAAATTAGGGAGAAATGGAAGAAATTGCTGCAGAGGCCTTTTGAGCACATCTGCTGACAGAGCTGGCTGTGCCACTCACCATAACATTGTCCACCAAGATAAAGGGAGCAAAATCATCTTCCATGAGCCTCTTCCTGTCGTTGTTTCCCTGCTGGTTTTGCACCACGTTGAAAGGTAACATTTTCTCAGGATGTATGACAGGTATATCACAGTATTGAAAGTATTCCTGTATTCCTCTGGGAGGAACATCTGGGTTATGTGGTTGCTTCTGTAGAATATTGATGTGATTAATATACTCCTATTTAAAATCTATTGCATAGGCTCAAATAATTAGGGTGGATAAGACAGAAATCAGAATTCCAGAAGCTGCTGTAGTGCTGAGCTGGCTCAGTGGGAGAACAGCTCTGGACAGACCTGAATCCATGTTCTTGGCACGGAGTTTCTGGCCAGAGTTATTGGTGTAAATAAAGTTATTGGTGATAAAAGGAGTAAGGCCTGGGATTCAAAAACATGGTGTTTGCTTAAATGGGTAGTTTTGGATGTGACTTTACCTCAAGTTGCTCTTGCTTTTATAGCCATGGCCACTGCTGGGGACAGAGGGGGTGAGCAATCCCTCCAAATGGCACACCCAAAACGACCGCCCGTGTGGACTCTTCCTTTTATGTGAATAATGCTGAGGTTGCAGATACTGTCAGAATGACAGTTTCTTCAGCTCTGATGTTACTTTACTTCCCAAAGCCTTTTCTGGGGGCTGAAGGAGGCCTGGGAGGGAGAGGACTGTGTTTTTTGGGACAAGGGTTGGATGGTGTCACTGCTGTGTCAGGGGCACCTCCGAGCCAAGTGAGGAGGTGACAGCAGTGAGGAGCAGGGCTAAAGTTTGCACCACCATCCTAAGGCAGTGGGTGATTTCTTGGAGCTGTTCCACTTACATTAAAAACCTGAAAGTGCTCTTTATATGTGGGAGATGTGCTGTTATTAGGTGCTGTTAATGAGTAGGTTTCTAGGGAGCTTAGGGGAAGGTGGAGGAGGGAACTGGGAGGTTGTTAGAACATAAGGGACAGGTTTGCTGCCATACTGAGAACACAACTGATTTAAAAATACAGGCTTTACAGATAAAATATGATGCTGACCTCAGCAATATGGAAATGTGCTCCAACTTAAGTACCTTTGCTGTCACTCAGTGCCTTCTTTGATACAAAAAATCTTTACTGCCAATGGAAATCTCTGCAGAGATGTAGCAACTAATGTTTAATACTTACTACAAAATTTTGTCAGGCATCTGTGTAGGAACTGCTATCCATGCTGTGCCCTTGGAGGGAAGCATTCCAAGTCTTTCTGTCCCACCTGTGATCAAACATGCAGGGAAAAGTGGGAGGGGGTCAGGTTGGCTCTCCCTCCTCTGGACTGAGTGAGCAGTTACATGAAAAAGCAGGAGTTTTCACTGGCATGTTACAGGGGAATAAAACACCCTTGCCCCTTTCTGGGAATATTAAGGAGCTGGTCAGATGTGTGGAAGATCATTCTGAACCTTGTATGGGATGACATAAGAAAATGATGCTAAAAATACAGAGTTTGGGTGTAGGTTTGTCCTGCCATTCTTGTTTTCAGAAGGGCTGGAGCCTGGCAGCCACAGCAGCAGGAATCCTTTCCAGGAGGGTTTTTGCACATCATCTTCACCGTGGAAAGGTTGTTGAAATAGTGTAATTGGGTGTATGTTTTATGACAGCAGTGCTAAATGCCTGTTAGCAACTGTAGGTAAGTGCTCTTGGATGATTTTAACTTAATTGGGACAAGACTTTATGCTGGGTATGTTCTGTGCAAGTGAGAGCATTCAGCTTTCTTCTCTTGTGAAGCAAAAAAAATGCAGCCCAGCATGCAGCTGGTAGAGCCAATGTCTGCAGGGAATAAATGGTCTCTGTAAAAGCTTTCCAGTTAAACAGAATACAGAACAGAAGTTGCTCTGAAGAAAATCAGTAGCATCAGTTAAGTGGTGCTTTTCTACCTCAGTATTGAATAAATAATGTTATTTAAAAAACAAACAACAAAAAAACCAAACACCAGCACACACATCCCCTAACATATTTCATTTATCTGGCAGATCAGGAAGAAAAATTAACTTTTGTGTCAATAAGGTATCTATCATCTTAGAAAATCAGTACAGGTGTTGTTATAATAAGACTGCAGTGATTTCCTAGTTTAAAAAAAGAGGGTGGTTTTGCTTTGCTTCAATACCTGAAGAATTTTCAGAGGCCATATATTCTCTGTCATCATTATTTTGTGGTGCATCTGATTGCAGTAATCTCAGGTAGTCCAAAATGTTGAAAGCAGTATAAAATGCTGTAAGGTTAAAGCAGAGGGAACAGAAACCTCTGTGGAAAAGAGGGGTGAGCAATGTTAAAATGAGCAAATGTGAATTCAGACTTTGGAATGTTCAGCTAAATATTAAAGCAACAGCTCAGCACTGAAAATAAAAACAGATTTTGAACTAAGTTTAGTCTTAACAAGTAATTCTCTTAAATGACAGGTTTGTGCTCTGGCAGTTTTCTTAGTGACTATACACTCCACATAGGAATACTGAATATATTCCTCTAGGAATATGTAGGAATCTCATCCCTGATGAGAGGGAGGGTACCAGAGGGAATTTTCTGGGTGTAAGAGGGCTAGTATCTCATTCAGGATGGAGGGTTTAAACAAATAACTTTGCTGGGCTTCTTCTGAACTGGAGGCCACTGACGTGGGGCAGCAGCAGCTGTGTCACGAGCCAGTGACAGAGATCACTAAGCACTGACACACACTTGATCACAGCAGTGATAAAAGCTCTTCATTTCCTACTTAGAAGAGCCCTGTTTGTTTGAACCACCCTCAGGAAGGCTCCCGGTTTTGTTTTGGTGGGTTTGAAGTGTAATTTGATTTTCTGTTGCCAGGGGCTCTCTCTCCTCGTCCGGAACAACCTCCTTTTTCTTTGCAGTGGGCTGACATACTTTTGCCTCTTAGCTACAAATCGAAGCATTTCTTTATAAACAGACAGATCCATTCACCTCTGACTTTGATGTCCTATCTGCATGGGTTTATGTCAATCATTAAAAGATTCCTGGTTATAAGTGGGTACGTCCTGAGTGCTGTTCTGGAGTCAGTGAAGTTTTATGTGCTGTTTGGGTTGTGTGTATAAATTGTCCACCAGTTTGTTTGCTTTCTTGCTCTCAGTTTGTACTCACACATTTTCTGATTGCAACCTCATTAAAAAGTCAGGTATGAGATCTGATTGATTTTTATGGGTTTTTTTTTTCCCCCCAGAGGTTGGATAAAATGCTTTTTCCACACTGCCTTGAAGCCAAATATATCTAAGGCTTCATTTTATGAAATGAAGATATCCACTCTGCTAGTCGTGTTGCAGATCAACATTTATGTGTGTTTTTCATATGAATCCAGGTTATTTTTCATACAGGTACAATCTTCACTTTCAGTGCAAAGTGTCTGATGTGTCTCGTGCCAGCACAATGCAGTTGACATCCTTGCTGATGATTTCATTTTGCAGGGATGTATAATAACTTGAAATGAAATGGGGCAATTTAACCAATTAATGTCTTTCTATGTACTTCTTCAGCTTAATTAAGGCTGCTCTTTATTTTTAATCTCCCCTTTTTCTGCCCCCCTATTTCCCTCATGTATTGACTGCAATGATAACTTGTGGCATGGAAGGAAGTGCAGGGACTGCTGTTCCCTCTGGACGTGCCTGGGCTGTGTCTGGGATGGGAGTTTGCTGCATGGGAGTTGATTTTTGCCACTGGTGTTTGTATTGTACACACAGGTCTCACAGGTGTTAAGTTCCACTCTATGAAGATTTTGAGAGCATTCCTCCAAAATCCACTTTTTTCCACCAGCAAGAGCACAGGGAAGAACTCCCCCCTGCACAGGAAATCAACATAAAACATTCATTAGGTATGGCCTGAAACCTCAGAATCATTTGAGAGGTGGTTTTGTAACTTGTATTGATCCCAGCCTTGGTAAGTTCTCACTTGCAGCCTGAAAGCCTTTGCTGTGGGCAACAGGCTGCTGTTTCAGGAAATGCAATTTATTTTTTCTTCCAAAGAAGCAATATCAATAAAAAACTGTCATCATCATGGCCTTTATGGGCAAACACTGGACAGGGTTATCCTGCTGGGAGGTATAAAGATAAGTATTTGCAGGGAGGAGGTTGTTTGGCTAAAGCTGGGGCAGTAGTTCTGCCGAAGAACAAACCGCTCTGTGGTAAATTTTAGGTTTTCCATGCATTCCAAAATCAGCATAGCAAAGAGTTCACAGCTTTTTAAAGGCAGTGTTATCTGTGAGTTAAGGCAAACATTTCTGGAGCAAGGCAAGACATGCAGCAGTAACCTTTAAAGAAAATTAGAGCTGGTTTGGGAAGAGATGAGCACCCGAGGAGGAGATCCCAGTGCCTGGTACAGCGAGAACTGTGGGATAAGACTGTGTGGTCACTGCCACTGCAGCAGCTCGGCATTAAACTCTCAGTGCAGACAGACCCTTATAAAATCCCTCCTCCAGTGCTGATCACAGGATGCTTCCTTGTATCCTGCAGTAAAACCAGCTCAGAATCAAAAGCCATTGGCAGGTTTGGGGCTTGCCAGGGAAACAGGAAGAGAAGTTGAGGTTATAACCAGTGTCTGAAGCAGGATTTCCACTTATTGAAACTGGTTTCTGAAAGCAGGAAAAATAAACTTTGGTAAGGAATGAGAAATTAGTTTTTGTGTGAGTTTTAGGATACCTTATTGATGAGTGCCTAGAGCAAGAAATCATACTTAAAACAAAATATTAGATTGCAAATACTGCAAATCTATCTGGACAGCAATTTATCACATGAGCCCTTAAAGATTTCTGGCACCATCTTCTGCTTGTGCAGCTCTTAAACTTGACAAAGTGGTTATTTTTATTCCAGTCCAATCTGGTCTGGGAGCTGGACCCTCTGGAAGCTGGGAAATGAGCAGCAGGTTATGTTAAAGTCCACAGTATATATTCTTTTGTGAGATACTTAAATGACGTGGTAACACGTAATGGGGCTGGAGGAAATTATGGATGTGGAAATTCTGCTCACTAATCTGATGAGGAAACCCTGGTCCAAGCTCCTTGCAGTGCAGGACTTCTGAGATGTAGAAAGCACCTCCTGGTTCTTGGTTACTTTCTCCAGAGGAATGTTTATAAACTTCAGATCTAAAGGCAAATATTTAAAGTAGCTGCGGGTCCTACTCCAAACCTGTCATTACCCCTCAGTTTATTTGCCATTCTCCTGTTGATTTGCAAAACACAACAGAAATAGACTCTGCAACCAAACCTATGGTTCAAATGCAGAAGGAAAACCAAGTTGAAAAGCAGGTGAGCAAGCAGTGTTTTCTTGAATCTTTCTTTAGCTGTTGTGTTAAATATTGCTTTCAATAGGGAAAAGAGGTTCCCAGAAGCCATTTGGAAGGGTCTTTCCAGCCCTAGTCATGTGTGCCCTGCACTTCCCTCCTGCTGGCACGTGCCCTGGGGTGACTTTGTGCCCAGTCACACTGGAAAGCTTGTGCTGGCTGATTTTGGGTTGGGTTTGTTGGGTTGGGTTTTTTTATTAGCTGCCAAAGTGCCCGTAGAAAAGCAAAGAGCAGCTGGAGGTGAGAGACAAGGGTAGGCCTTGGTGAGAGAGGGGATGAGCTCGGGTTAAGTCTCGTGAAACTCCACTCTCAGAACAGTGTCTCTGCCATCTTGTGCTCGGGACGTGTCCTGTAGTGCTACTTCTGTGTCAGGTCAGGCGTGAAAATGTGTCCTGTGAGCTGGGTGTGCAGATCCTGAGCCAGGCTGGGTGTGCAGATCCCGAGCCAAGCTGTGCTGGTTTGAATGTGGCTCTTTGTTGGGATGAGGGCTGCTGACAGGGGAGCTGCTTGTGGGAGCACGGCCAAGGGTTGTGCCTGGCTTTAGGGACCCGGGAGCCTCATTAAAATCACTGGGACCACTTCAGGGGCTTAAACTTAAAGTTTCACAGGATCAGAGCCTAACGGTATAAACTCTTCAGGAGCCGTTTTTAATGTGTATTCCACAAAACCCTTATCGTGTTCCCGGGTGCAGTAAAATGATAAGTAATAAATTCTCGCTGTGGGATGAAGCCCAAGTTTCTGGTTTTGGCTGTTTCTGTGCACACACCATGCTGGTTGGCAGCATGGGAGGAGGTGACAATCCCCCTGTGACCTCAGTACCCGTGAGCTTGGCAAACACGGAGCCCATGGCCCCCCTTCTCCTCGACCTTTCCGCCAAGGAGATGCCAAACCTGCCCGGCAACATGCCAGGACGAGGAGGCAGGCTAGTCCCGCAGAAGGAGCACATGGCTGCGAAATTAGGAGGCAAATCTGAATGTAGCCAGCAAGGACCTGCCACAGTGTGCCCTGGCACATGGCACACGCTGGGCGCTTGCCCTCACCTGCGTCCAACTGTTGCAAAACGTGGAAGGTGTGTAAAAACTTCCCTAAGAAAGGATGTCCTTTGATGTTTGATCTTACTTTCAAAGGCTGAGAACTGGCTGTGACGAGACCTGAGGCTCTGCTTTGCTGCGATGTTGGTTGTTTTGTGTTTTTTTTCTTTCTACCCACTTTCTCTCGGCGCGGTCGCTGCGGTCGTGGCGGTGCCCCGCAGGAGGGCGATGCTCCAGGAGATGCTCCAGGCGACGCTCCAGGTGATGCTCCAGCAGGGTGCCGGCTCTCGGGGTGTGTGTGCGTGTGCTCGGGCATCTCCCCGCCCCCGGCCCCTGGCGGGGTGTCCCTTGTCTGGAAGTGCCTCCCTCGCACTTCCCGGCCGTGGCAGGGCGCTGTGGCCGCCGGCAGCGCTCCCGGTCCGCCCCCAGCTCCGGCTCGCTCTCCCCCGCCTCTGCCGCTCGGCGATCCCCCGCTCCGGGCTGTGCTGGGGCCCGGCAGCCCCCGGCGGGTCGGGCAGGGCAGGGAGGGCTCCCCGAGAGCCGCAGGCACGGCCCCATGTCCGCACAGCCCCTGCGATCCCCGACGCTGCGGCCGCACAGGATGAAGAAAGAGGAGTC